AATAGCTCTATATGGTGATTTTAGACTTAGAAGCGAGTTCGGATATTGATTTGGAGGTCCGTAGGTCGTTTCGGCGAGAATTGGCGAAAGTTAGAAAGTTGAAGGTTTGGAAGGTTGGAAAGTTTGAACGGGAGTTGACTTTATATAGATCGAGTGGGATTCTGATTCCGGGAGTTGGAAGAGGTCCGTCATGTCATTTATGACTTGTGTGCAAAATTTGAAGTCCATCGGAGTTGTTTTGGTATGAATCGGCATTAGTTTCGAAATTCGGAAGTTCATAAGTTCCTTAGGCTTGAATCGATGCGCGATTCGTGGTTCTAGTGTAGTTTGATGTGATTTGACGCTTCGAGCATGTTCGTATTATGTTTTAGGACTTGTTTGTATGTTTGGTTAAGGTCCCGGAAGCCTTAGGTGTAATTCGGAATGTTCAGCGCAATTCGGAACCTTGAAGACTAATGAATCTGCTGCTACAAGTTTCCTTATACGCGATCGCGAGTAGGTTATCGCGATTGCGAAGAGTTGTTATATAGTTGCTGAGTTTTGAGACCTCATTTATTATTTCAGTTATATTCTGTATGAATGTTGGGCTTACCTAGTCTGAGAGACTAGGTGTCATTACGACATCCTACGGAGGAAAATTAAGGTCATGACAGTAACGACGCGAGTCACCCCAAGAGCAAGGTAGGGAGTTCTTGGAGGGAGAGAGTCGAGGGTCTATCAGAAACAGCTTCTCTACCTCAGGGTAGGGGTAAGATCTGCGTACGCACTACCCTCCTCAGACCCCACTAGTGAGATTATACTGAGTTATTATTATTTTTATTTTATTTTTAATAACATAATCTTATAATCACATAAATATCCTACCATATTTAAGATCACAAACTTTAAAAAAAAATTATTTCTTAAAACTATACTCTTGTTTTCTCCAGATCCAGAAACCAGTTAACACGCATGTCACTTAAAGTGGTCCTTCCAATCACGTGTTGAATCTTTTCTCCAAAGTACAAAAGCGCTGGACCGCGTAAAAGTTAAAACTATCCCGTTTGTTACTAAGAAAGAGGACAGTACTTGGGGTTTTACGACAGCCACGACATATCTGGTTGGCAAATACGTAGACACGTTCTCATCCTGATACTAATTTTGCCCTGGGACTTATTCGTTTGGGTATGCATATGTAAATAAGCTATATATTTCATTTAATATAATTTATTTACTTGATTGTTATGACTGATGCTCTCATTATTCACTTCAACCAGTGAGTAATACATGACTTCCTTCAGTTCATAGCCCATTTTTAAAAATCTCTCTTCAGTCTTTAGTAGCTCTCTTTGAAGGACGATTTTCAATAATATGGAGTAATGAATAGGCTATATGTGTGTGTACACATCAACTTATATATGGGAAACAATATAATTCATTATCGAACGCCATGTCTTCGACAAACAAGTTGTATATCAAATGAGTTGGATGCGAAGTAATTAACACACAATGACTCTTCTTCACAAATAGTTGTGCAGTTTTTATGAGTAAATTGTTTGAATAAATTGTTTATGTTGAGCTTTGTGAATAAGCATTTAATACAGTAAATTTAAAAAAAAATTAAAAAGATCTAATTGAGCAATTAGTTGAAATATGTCACGTTGACCTTTTTTGACAGAAATATCTCTTCAATGGTATGAGATACAAGTCTTAATTTACATTAAGCTAAATTGTTGAAGGAAATTAGATGTCTAGTTTTTTGGACAAACGTGGAAAAGGAAAAAAAACAAAAAAAAAAAGTATCAAGTAGTCAGTTAAAAGGATTGCTTCTGGCAACGAAGAGTTTAAAGTATGTGCCTCCAAGCTTAAAGTCTAATGGTATCGCTTGTTATCTATTCTTTTTCTTCTCTCTCTTTCTTCTTTCCAAGAAAAATTTATTTTAAAAAATAAAAGTACCACGCATCTAGAGCATACAGACAAGTGAGCATTCTCAGCATAGAGCTGTTTGGCCCAAAGCTACGTTAATGGACCAGGAGTAGTGTCGTGACCTGTTTTCTTCCCAATTAAATAAAGCTTGTCGAGCAATTAAAAAATTTTGATTTTTTATGGAGTCCTCCTACCTAACATGGTTTGATGGGACGTCTTATAATTTAGGGAAAATTTCCCCCTATTATTTATGCACTAATATTTTCGTTTTCTTATAAACAACACTTTAATAGCATTATCATGGAATTACTTTGGGACTCATTAGTCATTTAGCAATGCGAAGCTGCTAATATCTGTGACTTTTGTCTTCTAACAAGGAATTGTTGATGCTTTTAATGGAATATATGGGACATGAAAATATACATCTACCTTAAATTCACACTCCATTAAAACACCCTAGTATGTATGAAGTCATTTCATGTGTCAACAACAACAATATCACTGTGTATTCTCAAGAAGTGGGGTATGAGAAGTAAGAATATATAAATAATATCTACAAATCATACTAATTCGATAATTCGAGGCATGTCGTTTCAAATCCATGTGCCACATAAGACCATCACCATCGCCCCCACCAAAGCAGCTTCCTAAGCAGGAGCTTAACATCTCTCAGACTGCTACTTCCAACTGTTGGCTATAGACAGAGAGAGGTTTTTGAAGAAAATTCAGAAAAAGAAAGAAGACTGACGTATTTATTGGTAAGCGCGAAAAATTGAACAGCTACAAAATTATCAGCGATTGTATTTACACCATGGTGTGAAGCCTCTCCTTGAGCTTAAAATTGTGGTGCTAGATAATTTATTTTTTTATAATATTAGATTAAGACAAATTTAAATGTAGCTATATACACATTGAGAATTTATATAACCAATCTCAATATAGAGTGAGAAGTAGGGATGTACAAATGAAACCAACAAACCGCAAAATCGATAATCCGAGTTAAATCGAGAAAAAAAAACCGACTATGGTTTGGTTTGATTGGTTTGGTGTTAGAAAAAAAACCTGACGATATTTGGTTTGGTTTGGTTTTAACTAAAAAAAGTCAAATCGAAATCAAACCAACCCGATATTATATGTATAGAAGTTTTAAATATATTTAATATATAAAAATATTTATGGTAGTGTAGTTTATAAATATTTCTTAAGCTTTTTTATAGTTTTATCTTTTAACGTATTATTTCAAGTTTGAAATTATAATTTTTGGATGCTCCAATAAGTTTTATAGTCCATAAATGTTAGTAACTCAAATAAATCGTAAACCAAAATCAAATCAATATTAATGCTAATAAAAGACATTCAATTCAATTGTACTATGAATAAAAATAGTGTTGCATATCTATTTTTTAGTTTTTCCATGATTTAGACAAAATGTATAACTTATTTTTCTTTTAGTGGTTAGTCATGTAAATAATAGTACTTATTAGTCATAATTTTAATTTATGTTTGTTTTCATTATGGCTTATTAGTAATATTTATTTTATGCTATTTTATTATCTTTATTGTTGAATATTTTAGTACAATGTCATGACTCATTTCATATTTATGTTATTTTATTGAAAAACACCTTATGTAGTTCTGTCTTACTAGGATTAAAGAAATATTTGGAGCACAAATTTTACGTTTTGTGCTATGAAGACTTTATGAAAAAAAACTGAAAAAATCCGAAAATCCGAAAAATCCGGAAAAAATCGAGATTAAAAAAACTGACTTTTATTGGTTTGGTTTGGTATTTAAATTTAATAGCCCGATATAATTGGTTTGGTTTGGTAATTAGAAAATACGAACTAACCCGACCCATATACACTCCTACTGAAAAGGGTAGGATATACGCATTCTTACCTCTACCCTGAAAGGACCGAGAAGCTATTTCGGGAAGACCATAGTCATTTCATTTGTCACACTCCAAAAAGTATTACTTTCATGAATTGAAAGAGCTCAACTTCATTTTCAAAATGACGGTATAGTAAACAACAACAACAAATATCTAGAAGTCATTATTAATTGTCTCAAGCTTGCCACTTATTCTTTTTTAATAAATAATAAATAGAGAGAGGAAAATGACCATACTTCGGTATTGTTTTATTGTTTCTTTGAAAATTAAGAAGTTCTCTACTCGAGTTGCGAAGTCAGCACCTTCATTGACATGCATTAGAGATTGTCTTTCTTTGGTGTTAATCTTGAGCTAAGATTAAGAAATCTACGGTACTTCGACAAAATCAAAATTGGCTAATACGACATGTTATTTTTAATTATTTCATACTTGATTAGCTTTTGATTGCAATTTTAATTATGAACACTATTGACGTGTAATTTTTATACACTATTGACGTGTAATTTTCTTACGGCATCAGATAAAAATGACTTAATAATACTCTCTCCGTTTCAGTTTATGTGAACATGTTTACTTTTTGGTCAGTTCCAAAAAGAATGACCTATTTTAAATTTGGAAATAATTTAGCTTAAACTTACAATTTTACCCTTAATGAGAAGTTTTTATAATCATACAAATACTCTGAATCCTTTTTGACTTATTTAGGACCACAAATTCCAAAAAAAATTATTTCTTTTTAAATTATGTGCTCACTCAAACAGGTTCACATAAATTGGAACGGAGGGAGTATGTAATATAATCATATTAAGTTTGACATGGTAAATTGGAAAATAAAGTAGTAATACATAACTTGCTACTATAATGGAATCTTTTTAGACAACATTGCACAAAACTTAAATCACAAATTATTGTCCATTTGGGTCATATCAAAATTTTCTTTTCAAAAATAAAGCCGTCAGATGCCAAATGTGCAGAGAAATAGGAGTACTAAATATCTTATCAACAAAGAGCAATAAGACACCAAAACATGTGGTTATAATCCTGAGTCCTGACTCTCATTCTCCAGACCAAGACCCAAACAAAGCATAAAAGAACTAAGAAATCCACACTTTGGCTTCCACTTGCATCCATTTCTGACCAACAGAAAGAACGCAAGAGGCAACCAAAAACACAAAAACCTTGATTTCCCACAAAGAAATCTGAGATGGGAATAGTTGAAGAAGCACACAACGTCAAGGTTTTAGGGACAGGGGATCGGACCATAGTTCTAGCTCATGGATTTGGGACAGACCAATCGGTGTGGAAACATCTGGTTCCTCATCTAGTTGACGATTACAAGGTTGTCTTGTTTGACAATATGGGTGCTGGAACTACCAACCCGGACTACTTTGACTTTGAAAGGTATTCAACCTTAGAAGGCTATGCGTATGATGTGATTGCTATTTTGGAAGAACTCCAAATTCCTTGTTGCATTTATGTTGGACACTCTGTTTCTGCTATGGTTGGTGCCATCGCTTCTGTTGCCCGTCCCGATCTCTTCACCAAACTTGTTACCCTCTCTGGTTCTCCTAGGTAATTAATTTCCTCTTTTTCCTTTACCTTCTTACAATTTACTGGCGTATATTAACGTTTGACTATTTCTCCTTGTCACAATTTGATGTTCTTAAGGACAGTTATTTCTTACAAGTTACAACTATTTACCAACTAATCGAAACCACAAAGCATATTCTTGATTTAAATTAGTGAGTGCATTGATTCCGTGCTTGCATTTCCCCTGATATTACCTAATCTCTTAGGTGGAATTTAAAGAAAGAATAGCAAACTTTAAATGAAGAGTAGTCATAGAAATAGAAAGAGAGAGCTATAGTACAATAGCTTTTTGGTTTATTATAATAATTTAAACAAATCATTCAGCTGGTAAATATGCGAATCATTAGCTAATTCTTTTGTTTTCTAATTGAACATGTTGGTTCTCTACGTTAGGCCGACAGTTGTTTGTTAGGTTTATTTATTATTACAACGGTGTGCTGGATCCTTTTTTTATTTGGCTTAGAGATAGTTCTATGAAATTATTAAACTTACCCTTCTAACTTGAATTAAAATATCTAATTAGGTATTTGAACGACGTGGACTATTACGGAGGATTCGAACAAGAAGATCTGGATCAACTGTTTGAAGCAATGAGATCAAATTACAAGGCATGGTGTTCTGGTTTTGCACCTTTAGCTGTAGGGGGTGACATGGATTCAGTGGCAGTACAAGAATTCAGCAGGACATTGTTCAATATGAGACCAGACATAGCATTAAGTGTGTTACAAATCATATTCCAAAGTGATTTAAGGCATTTGTTGCCTCATGTGACTGTTCCCTGTCATATAATTCAAAGTATGAAGGATTTGGCTGTACCAGTGGTGGTTTCTGAATACCTTCACCAGAACCTCGGCGGCGGATCTATCGTGGAGGTAATGTCGACGGATGGCCATCTGCCGCAGCTGAGTTCACCTGATGTTGTTATTCCGGTGTTGCTTAGGCATATTCGTTATGATATTGCCGTTGATTGATTAGTACTACGGTAGTAAGCAGTTACTTGGAAGTTGAATTTATTTGGGATATATGTATAAAGTTATCTTGCTTTGCTAAATGGAATTCATAGCAAAGCAATCCCTATGATTGCAACTATGCAAATTTCAAATTTCAAATGATGGAAAAGTGTCGATCAATAAATCAATTGGGTTTCTCTCCTACACTAGTTGAGAACTTGAGATCGGCTATGTGATCCGCTAATTTCATTCCTCTAGTATTAATAAGGCCAAATACATAGAGAGTCCCTTAAAGTTGGCTCCAAATTTCATTTTGACACCTCAACTTACACTATTTCTTATTAAATACTTAATCCCAACGTAAAGTATGCCTATTAGACCATCGTCTAACCACCAGTAAACAAAAGTAATAGTGTGAAATCAGACGCGATGACGTGGCAAAAAAACAAATCAAATTACATATTATTTAACCAAATAATATATTAACAATATACCCCCAAAAAAATATAAACTTTTTTCCTTCTCCACCTTGCATCTCTAATCGTCTTTTTCTCTAAATGAGCCCCTCCCAATCATCACTCTGCCTCTTTCTCGGTCAAATCTCTCTCACCGGTAAACTCTCTCTTTTAACCATTTTTTCTATTATTTGTCTAAGAGAACGAGTCTGAACAACAGTAGGTAAAGTTTCACACCGGTGTCGTTGACCCTTTTGGTTCCTCCGGCGAAAGCCCATCACTGTCATTTGTTTTAAAGCCATGATCATACTCCATTAATGGAGTCTTACTGGCTACTTTTTCGGTGGAACATCCCAAGAACTTTTTTTGTCCCAAAAACCCTTGAGAAATTTATCCTTTATTTTAATTCTTTATCCTCTGTTATTTTTATTTTTCCTTTTATATTTCATCTGGGTATTATTATGTTGGTGTTTTGATTTCTTCTTTAATGAGAAATTTATAAATTACCAGCTTGAAATTACGAATTTGGGTGTATCCGGTCTGGAATTGTTTGAAGAAGTTGTGGAGTTTGATATTATGATGTGAATTTTTGTTTCTAATGGTGGAGAGATGGTGGAGTTCGAAGTGATTTTCATAGTGATAGCTAGGTGGGAGATGGAGGTGCTTATGCTGTAAAAGTACATGTAGAGGAATTGGCCAAAATAGTGGAGGTGGGAATGAGGTGGTGATGAAGACAGTGGCTATGGAGGTGGCGTGGTGGGGTGATATCTGCAGAGAATCAAGATAAAGGAGATGGAAGAAAAATTATAACCTAATCGTCAATTGACATTCTATTTTTTGTATCCACGCTCTCAAAAAGAAGTGTGATATACTTACTTTGCCACCTCAGCATTTGTGTCTAATAGGCACAGTTTATATTAAGATTAAGTGTTTAATAGGAAACAGACTAAGTTAAGGTGTTAAAATAGAATTTGGAACCAACTTTAAGGGGTCGTCTATATATTTGTCCTATTAATAACTATGAGGTTCTGGACATAAGTTTTTGACCAAAAAATATAAATCTTGATTCAATTAATTAAATTTATACAAATGAGGGTTAATCTTAGTTAATAATAATATCTCAAAGATGAAATTCTCGGTAGTGTGATAAATAATATGTAGATCTATTCCAAATGCAATGACAGTACACAATGAACAATATTTAAAAACCCAAACAGAAGTAACGTGTAAGGCCCCATGAAATTTTACCTAAAACCTGGAGTTTCGTGGTGCCGAGGTAGACTTAGGTGTTGATGATTGTAGAGCTCGCCGCGGTTCGGACTTTTTGGGTTGAACAGTGCGTTGAGGAGTTGAAGAAAATTTTTGGAAGTGCATGGCGTTTCTGCGGTCCATTTTGCGATCGCAGAACTAATCTGCAGACCACAGATCTGACGCAGACTGAAACAGAAACTTAAGCAAATTTTTGGACCATTATGCGGTCCATTATGCAGCCGCACAATCCATCGCAGATCCAACACAAAAAATTCCGGAAGAAAGTTCTGTTGTGCATTATGCGACTGCAGAATTAATCTGTGGACCGCAGACCAGTCGTAAAGTGTGGCACAAATGCCCAGTTCTAGAGGGCCATTATGCGGTCTATTTTGCGGACCGCATAAGCGTTATGTGATCGCATATGCGACCGCATATCTGCAACGGGGCTTTATTTTTTTAATTTTTTTTACCCGGCCCTATTTTGATATATCGAAGTAAAGGGCCACTTTTGAAGCAAAAATCTGATATTTCTAGAGAGAGAGGGTGCTATAGAGTGAGAGGGAAAGTTCCTAAGCTTATTGTTCATCAACTCTTGCTCAAGGTTGAAGAATTCACAAGAAATATTCACTAGGTCCTAGAGGTAAGATTCTACTCCCTAGCCCTCAATTTCGTGATTTTATTGAAAATAGGTAATGAGAAAAGTAATTATTGGGGGTGGGAGTTGTCCATTATGCATGCATATACTATCAAGGGTTGGGGGAAGAATGTTGAGCTAAATTGGATAGACTTTGGGTAGTGGAATGAAGGAATCCACCATAGGAGGACCTTGAACTCATAATACCCACCTAGTATTTGATAAAATGCTCAAATGAGCTGGAAACATGAGCTCCCTCCTAATTTGTATTCAATTTTGCTATATCTCTAAATAGATCGAAGTTGCTAGAATTTTCGGAACTGTGTAGTGAATTAAGGAAAGCTCAAAGCGAGGTATGTTGGCTAAACTCCTCTTTTAGAATTGAACCCCATAATTTTCTTGTAAGTACCGAGTTGCTCATTATAAATTAATTATTCCAAATAAGCCTTGTGTCAAAAGATATATGTGTTCAATATGTATTCTGAATGTTCTCGTTATCTTGTGTTACTAATTGAGAATGTGTTCAAAGTATGGGTTGCATGTCTAAATGATATAACTTCAAGTCGTAATTCAGACGAAAGTTATTATGCTGAATTGTGTATGAAATCTCAATGTGCTTAAGACTCTTACTTGCTCACACGTGTACTTAAAGTCTTGAATAGAAATACTTTATTGTCGATAATCCGAGATGATATTGAAAGTAAAAGAGGTGAGCATGAAATGTGAAACACGACCAACGTGCCAAGTATGATATTACGTTTGGGGCCACTAGTGCCGATGAAACTAAGAAACGTGTAAAAGATGTTGAAATGAGTTGTGAATCCTCTTAATAACAAACACTTTGGGAGTATCGTTAGTCACCGAGGAAGGGTAGGTTGAAATAGCTTAACCTCGAAACTACACATGCCGGTGTAGGAATGAATTTAATTATTCCCCTCATTTGGGACGTTATTGATGTGGTAAATATTCCCCTCTATTGGGATGAGATGATTGCTAGAAAAGGGTGATGTCAATCCACACGGCATTGTGGTGAGACGGCCTAGCCGGCCGGGTCGAGATCAGACTCCATGCTGCACACATGGTGGTGATTGTGCTAAAATTTGTGATTAAGATTATGATTGAAACTGTAATAGTGATTGTGATTGTGGTTGATGTCTTCGGGTAAGACGACCTAGACGATCGGGCCGTGATCAGACTCCTTGCTAAAATCATTGTGGTATACCGGTGCTAAGATATCCCAACCTAAAAATAATGGAGATTTACTTGACACTTATCTTGCTCCTAATTTGATGTTTTAGTATTGTCTGAGGCTTCCATTGATTTATGACTGTCCTTCCTTGTGTTATCATTCGTTCTAATGAGAGGATGTTTAGTCTTACATACTAGTAATATTCCATATATACTAACATCCCTTTTGCCGAAGGAGCTACATCTATAATGGATACAGGTGGTTCTGCAGTTGGTGGCATTGATCATTGATAGTAATATACCCTCTTCTCGGCAGATTTGGTGAGCCTCACTTCATCCGGGGTCGTGTATCTTTTGTCTCACGTGTATTATGTTTTGAGATTTAGCCGGGGCCTTTTTGCCGGCATTATCATAGTATTTTGTATCCATAGAGACTCCGTAGACAGAGTGTGGGTTGTATATAGGTGTTGGGGAAGTCAAATGTAACGACCCGGCTGGTCGTTTCGAGAGTTATAGCCACGTTTTCTCCATTTCTACTTCTTTTTGTGTTATTCAGCTATATTATGTTATGTCGGGTTAGTTGGTTCGGGACCGGAGTGGTTTCAGAGTGAATTGAGACACTTAGTCTCTTAAGTAAAAACTTAAGTTGGAAAAGTCAACCGGATATTAATCTATGTGTAAACAATCTCGGATTTGAATTCTGATGTTTCTGTTAGCTCCGTTAGGTGATTTTGGACTTAGGAGTGTGTCCGGAATGTGATTTGGAGGTCCGTGGTAGAATTAGACTTGAATTGGCGAAATTGGAAATTTGGCGATTTCGGATGGTAGTGGAAATTTGATATCGGGGTCAAAATAGAATTCTGGAAGTTGGAGTAGGTTCGTAGTGTCATTTGTGATGTGTGTGCAAAATTTGAGGTCATTCGGACGTGGTTTGGTTGTATTCGGCATCGGTTGCCGAATTTGGAAATTTAAAAGTTCTTAGGCTTGAATCCGAGGGTAATTTGATGATTGGATGTTGTTTTGAGTGACTCGAAGGTTCGACTAAGTTTGTATGTTGAAATATGACTTGTTGGTATTTTTGTTTGAGGTCCCGAGAGCCTCGGGGTGATTCCGGGTGGTTAACGGATTTGTTAAAGTTGGAATTTGCAGCTCGAGCTGCTGTTACTGCTATTTTTGCACCTGCGAAAGAAAGCCTCGCAGGTGCGAGGCTGCTGGTGCGCGTGGGGAGTGCGCAGGTGCGGGCAATGCTGGGCCAAGGCTGGGAATGCAGGTGCAAAGAATTGGTCACATCTGCGAGCCCGCAAGTGCGAGGCCTTGAGCGCAGATGCGGAGATGAGAATTTTGGGCTGGTTTCGCAGATGCGCACCAGGGACCGCAGATGCGAGTCCACAGGTGCGAGAAAGGTATCCGCAGGTGCGGAAGCTGGGGGATTAAGTGAGTTGCGCAGGTGCGGCTTCTTGGACTGCAGGTGCGGTCGCACGGGTGTGAGAAAATGGCCGCAAGTGCGAAAAACCTGGGCAAAAAACCATAAATAGAACCCTTCGCGATTTTGGTGCATTCTTCACCATTTCTATTCGGGTTTTGGAGCTTTTGGGAGATATTTGAAGAGGGAATCAAGGGGGTTTCATTGAGGTAAGTTACTTGAGCCCTAATACTTGTATATATGGTGATTTTTC